ACCCGCCCCCCCCCCCCCGAAATGGTGTCATATGTTCCAGGAGGCAAAGTAAAAGGGAGATGGATTCAACCTCCCTTGGTGAAACTGTGATAGGAGACAACACTGCCTAATGCTCCTGAATTCAGAGAAGGGTTGTCACCTAATGTAGGCTGTGCCTGCCGGTGGGATGAGGTTGCCATGATAATGCAGATAGCCACACCCACTAATTTACAGGCCTGTAACCTTATCAATCAGCACCTGGCCACCCCTAGTCCTACTAACTGCTTATTGGATTGACCGCATGCTCTGTTGCTGAAACGCTTCCACTGTGAGCTGCAGTGTCTGGGAGGGGGGCATGCAAGACAGAAATTAAGGATTTAGCTTGCTCAGGGGAGATGTAAGGAAGTTCTTGTTTTTACTTTGTAAGGCTTGTGCACCACACCTCCAACTCTATTTGGGATCTTTTCAGACTGCCATACAGGGGCCTTTAGATGTACACCAACATCTTTTGGGACACTATCAGCCTCACCAGGAAGACACGGATACAAAATGCCAGCTATGATCTTTGTATCATATCATATACTACGACACTTGCAGCTTAACAAGTTTAAAGCGGCTGAGAGGTTCACAGTGCAATCTGAAAAAACAGAGCCAAGAGGGACTTTGGATTCCATCTTGCACTGCGATCCATTTTTTTTTGCCCACCTTCTCTTGAAAATGGCGGCTGCCTCGGTCTATAATACAAAACACTGGCCAGGAACCCAGCTTGCAGGGACTAAAGTCAGAACTCTTAATCGGCCTACTTGTTCCAAAGTGCTGAAGTCAGTGGATCAGCATAACACCAGTTTTCAGAAGGGGAGATCCACAGTAGCAGCCTACATACCTTCCTTAGACTTCCTTTAAAGTTTTGCCCAGAGTTCTTCTTTAATTAACCCTTGCAGCGGGACTACCCCTGCACTGCTAAGGTTAAGTCCTCGTTTTTGTCTAGGTGCTAACAGAAAGATGAAACAAAAAACAGTTATACTCCCCTGAACCATGGAGCTGGCTTTCTCTTCGCCTGGTCCTTCCAGCCTCTCCCCCTCTGCTGCAGAGGCCCAAGGTCGCATAAATCATCACGCACTATACACGGTGTATAGACATGAAGACGCTGAGGAACATTCCAAAACTGCTGGGTAGGAGACAGGCTTCAGACACCGGAGCAGCAGGGAGCCAGCTCAGCATTCAGGTGAGTATATAACTTAGCACCTGGACAAATCTGAGCCGTTAAACCCTTGCAGAGCGGGGGTAGCCCCACTGCAAGAGTTAAGAAAAGTTTTGCCCGGAGTTCTTCTTTAAAGTTTAAAGCCCCACACAAACACAGAATCAGGTAGGAAGCAGAATAGGTCACCTTACCTGTTAAGGCACGAAGCTTCACACAGCATGCAACATAATCATCAAAGAATATTCTGCCGCTCTTACTATAGCGTTTCACTATGGTGTTAACTGTAGATGGGTTTAATCTGTAACCTAAAAATATGAAGAGACGTCAGGCGGTATCCATCAGCACAATAAAAAGGCACTCTGTAACAAGGCAATGATCTTGTGTGATAGTAACCTAGTGGCAGGGACGCCATTCACAGTGAATCTGAACAGGTTCAGCTAAAAAGAACCAGGAATCTGCACATCCTAATCTTGTATAGGAGTTTTGAAAACCATACTGACTGCATGTGGCCAGCATTAGACTTCCTACCCAGATGGCCATAATTATATGCATAATTATAATTATATGCATGCAGGCAAGCACAATCTAACACCACCAAATCTCCCACCAGCGCCATATTCCTTACATCTTTAGGCATACAGAAACAGCAACTTCCACAAGTGGGCATCACCTTGGCAGTCAGGGTAACTGGAGAATAGATAGGGAAGTTTTTATTAATAAAAAAGTTGAGACAATAAAATGTACACCCAGCAGTCAATGAAGAGCCTTCATATAAAAAGTCTCATCAGCCTAGGCAAAAGTATCAGAACAGCGCAGCTTGAACTCTGCAGACTGGAGCATGAGTCCTTCAAAACGGCATGTCAGCTTAGGTTTACGCGTTTCTCGGGACATGCCCCTTCATCACAACCTAGACCCACGCTCCAGTCTGCAGAGTTCAAGCTGTGCTGTTCCGATGCTTTTGCCTGGACTGAAGAGACTTTTTATATGAAGGCTATTTATTGACTGCTGGTTTGCGAGTACATTTATTGTCTTTTACCTTTTTATTAATAAAAAGGAGGGAACACAGTGCGCCTAGCTATGCAATCTAATAACCCTCGAGGGCTGGGTGTTGCAACCAGTCATGTTTAGTTGCTGGAAAGAGGCAAGGGAGAGATGTGCTGCTGGCACCCCTAAAGCATTAGGGAGGGGTGAGGTTAAATACAATTCGTTTTTTTCTCCACAGCAATGCTCCCCTCTTCTGAGAAGCTATCAGTGTCGGCTGGTGACCCACATACATTGCAACAAACCTGTAATATCTATGGACAGCTGTAATGCATACTGTGATATTTACCAAAAAAAAAAAAAAAAATTCTAATGACATTTCATAAATTAGACTTCCCCAGTTGTGTTGGCTGTACATTTCCAGATCAAATATTCTCTAACACAGGAACAACATGCAGCATATTAGGAGAATCAGCTGGCTGAAAATAGCATCCCTATCAGACACATTCCACATTCCGTTCTGCTTTGCGAGGACGATCTCCAGTAAAAGTTACAATTCCATATGCTATGCTGTGGACAAATGGCAGCCCTGTGGCACTCTCCCACACTGCACCTTGCATAGAATGTTGGAGAAGAGTCCTACAGAGTAATTACGCCATAGCCCTTGACAAAACGAGATTGGGTCAGCACAGCAGATGTGATCGCCTGAAATTTGCGCAGCAGGTGAACTGCATGGTGACAAAAATATCTTACATACTGCATTTTGGTTGCATAGACCTACATCTTCCCAATCAATCTGGCAAAAGTGAGCTGGCAGTGGTGATGCACTGAGGGCATATGTCCAACACCTGACTCTTAGGGTCTCCTTCAGAGCTTCTAATGTATGCAAATCAAGATAATGGTTTTAACATAGATATACAAGAACAACTTACCCATTGCCAGAATGGACTGGTTTAGCTCATGGGGCTCCACTGATCCACTCCGGTCTTGATCAAATGTGCAGAAGTTCTGTTTCCAGGCACTTAAAGCTGCCCACAGTTCTTTGAATTCATTGAAGCCCATTTTGCCAGAAAAGTCCCTCTGATTTGGAGTTGTTAAAGAAAATTTGAATTGAAAGAAAAAAGACAACTTTCCACAATCTCACCATCAGTAACAGACAGAAATAGAAAAGGTTTACTTAATAAATGTAGAAAGAATGGAGACATATTGTTTCAGCATCAGAAGATTCCCAACAGATGTCAATGTTGATCGTGAACCTTATTCTGACAGGCAGGATCAAGCTCACCTGAAGCTAGAGAATGACTGGATTGTCTCTGGCTGATCGTACGCCATTCCTCCCACCTTCTTAGTGCACAATGGTGAGGTTAAGTGGGTGACAGGGAAGGATTAGAAGTCCTGTTGGGTTTTTAATGCACTATTGCAACAGTTAAAGTGACGCTAAACTCAGGAATTATAAAATGCATTCAAGTCCCTTAACAATGTATCTTATTTGTGTATCACTCGGGTGTAGATTCTCAAATCTCTGAATTGGTCCCGACACTGTCCTTCCTTCCGGAGGAGGGCTACTTTTGTTCCCCATGTGTGTTGTAAAGTAGCCACCGCTTCAAGCTTGCTCCAGTGATGGGACTATAATCTCAGGTTTACTTTACTAATTTGTATTGAGATTGTAGTCCATCACAGGAGTGAGCTTGGAGCGGTGGCTACGTTACAACACACAGACAATGGAGAACAAAAGTAGACACCCTCCAGAAGGAAGGACAGTGTCAGCAACAATTCAGAGATGATCTACAGCCGAGTGATACACAAATAAGATACATTTTTGTTAACATTTAAGGTACTTGAATTTTTAAGATTCAACTGCTAAGTCAAGTGTCATTTAATATTTTCAGAACACACTTTCGGGGCCTATCCTGTTTAACAGGAACTGTAAGAGATATCCCTTACTTACTGCTCCAGCAAAAACAGTATCACCAGACAAGAAGTGCATCTGCAAATAAAAATCTGTAATAGGGACACAGATGGAAATAAAAAGCTGAAGGGGTTCTAGCCTCTCTAAACTTACTGTCCCCACAAACGTGAATTAGATGGTATGGAGAAACATAGGGCTCCAACCAACTAATTGATAAATGAGAATAGTTGACAACTATTCTCGATTTATCAATTATTTGGATGCCCTAGCTCTCTCCTGCACACTGGGAGGCGGGCACAGCAAGTAGTGGGTGGGTGCAAAAGCCAGCCTGCTATTGGCTATTACAATTTGAAATGGCCAATAGCAGGCTTGCTATTGCACCAGACCACTACCTTCTATATTTACATTCTGCCGCCGTCTGCGGAGTCTTGCCACTGGCAGATGTCATTCCTGGGCTGAAGCTATTCAAGCGCCAATTATTAAAAAAATAAAACAAATTATTTTTAAAAAAAGGGGGAAAAAAAAAGTAATTTTCAGTTTCAGCCTTACAAATTCTGCTGTGGGAGGTGCCTCGCAGTACCAAATGCGCCTCCCACCCACAGTGGGATTGTCCGCACGGGAACGCATGGTACCGCAATGCAGTGTGTTCCAGTGCAGTGCGATTGGAAAAAATTGTGCTTGCAGTTTTATTCTGAAGTAAACTTTAGGTTTGCAAAACTCCATTTGTGTATTTTATTTTAAATTAAGGATGGTATTTAATTTCTTTAATCCGATTAATCGAGAAAAACAAATAATCCGCCAACTAATCAATTATGAAAATAATATTTAGCAGCAGCCCTAGAGAAAAAGATTATTCCTTTGACAATCATTTACAAGTCTGCCAACACACTGCTGCACACAAAAGACTTCTAGAAAAGGATACATCCAACAAAGCAATCATAATACGGCAGGTTTCCAGGCTGAAAGCTGTTGGAAGAAATAAAATGAAGATCAGTGTTGCATACAGATCTATTTGGTTCAATGCTATATTTTCCATTGCAAATATCTGAAATGTTTAAAGGATAAGTGCACTCATCATTTTTGCCTCTATCCCTGACCTAAATGATCCCATCCTTCCCCTCTGCAGATCTGTACTTAGAGATCAGATAGGCATGGCTTTGCTATACTTTATATAGGGGGCCACAGTGCTCCCTCTGCTGGCCGCACCTACTCATTACAGCCCCTGGGACTTCTATGGAGCCATCACCCAACAAGGAGAAGGAACCAGCCAGGATAGGAAGACTTGCAGTGCTAGACATCAATGAACTGCGGAGCCCAGGCCCTCAGATGTCGGCAAGTACAGATCTACAGAGGATGAGGGTGGGATGGTTTATGGTTTGTTCTGTTGCGTCTTCAGGGGCAGGAAGTCAAGTGAAATCTCCCGACAAGGTGGAATTCATGCCAATATAAAGGGGGAAATGTGTGAAGAGATATTCCTGGTTGCTCAGAACAAACCATGTATCTGATCTTCTGTGTGGAGAAGCCGTTGCTGATAATACAATTGTTATGCGTCTGCTTATCACTAGTTTATTATATGGATTACTTCAATTGATCTAAATATAGGTCAGTGTCCTCCACACGCTCACACCTTTACCCTACAGAGATAATACTCATCCAGGAAACACCTAGCACTCGCCATGGTCATTAATGTTTAACTGAGTACACTATTCTAGGCTTGCAAATGACAATTCATAAATGACTAAGGACAGTATTAAACTTAGTATCTAAAAATCAATACACATTTGTGTGCAAATATTTAAATAGCTTTAGTATAGAGTTCATGCAAAAAGGAAGAAGTCTATGAAAGCCATTGGGGCTTCTTAGCCATGTACTCCCAGCATGGCAGACAAATCTCAGGGAACCGTTTTTATGGCTCCCAATGAAACTACTCGGATGACTAATCATTCCGCTTACAAGGTGGATGCCTCCACACCGAGGGGAAGAGTATATGGGCATGTTCAAAGGAATGTAGTCTTCAGCATTTCATTTTCAGAGATGCACTACATGTAAAAGATACATTATATGGCTCAACCATTTTCATTGAGCGCAAGTTTTAAAAGATGTTGAGATATGGAACTTGTCATTTTCAGGTACGGGTGAGCAATCATTTTGGACTTATACATTTTGTGTCCTACTCTAGAGCACTACATGACTGTGCTGTACCGATTCTCCACACCATGTAAATGTATAGAATCCCCCGACTCATTAAAAACAATGCATCCCTACAGAGTCCTATATTGATGTAGGGGGTCAGCAGGACAAACCACTGCGCACAGAGGAAGACAGGAGCCATACCTTTAAGGAAAGGCAGAGACACCGGCACTCCACAGTGAAAAGCAAACCGTCTATTTATTGACCTGCAGCATCACAGGTATTGCAATAGATGGTTTGCTTTTCACTCTGGAGTGCCGGTGTCTCTGCCTTTCCTTAAAGGTATGACGATTGCCACCTGTTGCACCCACTTTCTCAAAAGGGATCTTGCGGTCAGGAGTGCGATGGGACCATGGACTTTCTGTGATACCTTTAAAAAAGGAAAACTCCAGAAACGTTTTTTTTTTATTAACCCTTGCAGTGGGGGGCAATCCCTTGTCTAGGTTAAAAAAAAAAAAAAACCTCCTCTGCAGCAGTCTAAGGTACCATAAATCATCCCATCTATACACAGTGTATAGATGCGAGGACACTAAGGAAGATTCCAATGCTTCAGCGGAGTAGGGGACAGGCTGGAGGGAGCACTTTTGACAGCTGGCCAGCTCAGAGCTTCGACTATAACAGATATTTTAGCGGCGCCCAGCTTCCCGACTGGCCAGAAAGCCGGCTTCATGCCACGTCACCAAGTGACGATTGGTCGGGAAGCCTGCTCCATGCTCAATCAGGTAGCCGGGCAGCGTGTAATGACTCTCTGCCTGGCTTCCAGATACCAGAAGTTCGGGTACAGGGCTAGGCATAGGAGCATTTGGGTGAATACGAGGCCAAATACTCGGTATCAGCATTGATACTAGTATCGGTGCATCCCTAATAAATTATTTAGAATAAATTATATTATAATATAAACTGTATATACCTATACACACACCTTTATGGTATAGTCAACTATACAAAGTATAGCCATATTCTAAAATATGGAATTTCAGATCACCTAGTGCTGGAAATTATATTATTATTATTATACAGGATTTATATAGTGCTTTACAATATAAGGAAGACATTACAATCACAATACAATTCAAGACAAGATGGGGAGGAGGGTCCTGCCCCTGGGGGCTTACAATCTAAAAGAGGAGGGGTAAGTGATACATGAGGAGGTAGCTGTGTGGGGATGAATTGTTTAAGAATGTGATGGTTGAGTGGTTAGGTTGAGGTGGGATAGGCTAGGTGGGAAATAAAGATGGTCCTGACTTACGTGTATAGGTCCCATGGATTCCAGCCTGTGTCAAACATCTCTGTAGTTCTTCAGCATCTACTTCACCATCCTGCAGAATAGCAGCATTTGTCTATTATTTTCACATTCAAATCCATAGACCTTCAAGAAGGCGAGCTTTACATACGAAATAAACAGACGCTGGGGCTTTTCAAACATTGCAAACTTATTGAATGCACATTTTTGTCTGCTGAAGATGGATACACAAGGGCAGCCATTGGTTTGTTTAGGCTGACCAATGCCAGGAAACATGTCCTTTTCACACCAAGAACCATGCAAAATCCTTATATATTGATTTAAATAAACAGCTTTTAAAGTGACGGAGGATGGAACCACAGCTCTCTGTAGGGGACAAAGCATCTGACATTACCAGAAGTACCGATCGCTGAGTCTAAGGTGGGAGAACTAGAATGGAGCAAAGAGACACGGGGCTACCAGAAAGGAGTAGAATACCTGGAATTCATTTTTTGTTTTGTTTACAAGGCTGCTTTAATTAAAACTGCAACTCCGCAGAGCAGATGGCTGTACTGTAGGTGGACAGGAGAGCGCTCAAGGATACAATAATGATGTATTGGGCAGGGTGCAGGAGTCACATGTAGAAGTTTTCCATGATGTAGATTATAGTGGTGGCTCTAGCGCAGCACGAGAGTGAAGAAAGGACTCGGTACTGGTAACTATTGTTTTTTTTTTTTAAATGCCTTGTATACATTTTAATTTTTTGTCTCTTTCACACTGAAAGTTGCCCCAAGAAACCCAAAGAATGAATCCTACTCCTACTATACCTCTTCACTGCAGTTTTTCATGACTAACTGCCCTTGGAGTTGTGTCGACAGCATCAGTTTGAGATAATTCAGAATTCATGGACAGGTGTGTTTGACATGCAGTTTTTCCTCTTTCCGACCTGCACTTGGCCCTTATCCAAGCAGTTTTTGCATAGACTTGTATGGAAATGCAAAACCTGCTTGAAGCAAGCAAAAGCCTGCTGACATCTGCACATTCAGGGTAAGGGACACTGTCTTTGTAAAGGCCTCTCTTCGCCAATACTCACCTTGTCAGTGTTTCATCGACCATTCCTTCCACTACATCATCCAGTGAAAATACTGAGTGATTCCAGGTATTGTTGGGAGGGGGGGGAGGGAGAGCATGCAACCTTCTCCCATATGACAGAACTTGGGTCTACCTGCCATAGTCACATGATAGTGGGGGACATTACAGAACCTCCTAGCCTCTAGCATTAGTCAACACATAATTTTTGTGCCAGTTAAGAGGAAGGAGCAGGAGAAGGCGAGGATCAGTGAATTGGTGGGGTCGCTCTACACTCTGCCCTGCATAGCCAACTTGACAGTGCATCTGTAAAAGAAACCTACACTAAGGAAAATACAGCCCACAACTGCCAACCTCCAAAAAAAAAAAAAGAAAAAAAAAAAAGTGTCCTGCTGTCTCTAGTTTCAATGGTTACCAACTCACTTTACTGTACCAGTATCTGTTAGTGACAGGAAGTGATCATTAATCCTTTACTAAATTAGAGGAAACAAAAACCAGGAAAGTGTGAGAAAGCTCATCTGTGAACAATTCACATGAACTGGTTATTCTCCAGAAAGAGAACTTCCTTGAAAAACACACCAGATAAACTGGTTTCTGCAATGGAACCAACTATTCACAGAAGAAAAGAAAGTCCATCACGAAAGAGGAACCTAAAAGTATAAATAAAAAGGCAAAACAGTTTTTAGTTAGGATTTGGATAGAGAGTGGCGAGGCCATTCAGTCTTTATTGCTGTCTTTGTCCAAGTTCGCGAGTTTCACTTTCTCCTACTGTGCCAATCACCAACGTCACCGGGAGTGAAAGCGAGAGTAAAATTGTGTGACCAGAACAGGGAGAGAGGAGAACTCCTCCATTGGGGACACTTGTTCCCAAGACAAATGAAGAGGGGATTATCCTCTCACTTCCTACAGAGTCTAAAAAGGACAGAAAGTGAAGGGAAACCTCCCTAATAAAAAACAGAAAAAAAAAAAAAAAAGATGCAAACTGCCTAGTCTAGGAGATATGTTGTCCGCACACCATTTTGCTTCGTAATGTCATCTTTATTCGTATTCCTTTAGCATGACGTGAATGCAGTTACACGTCATGCTAAAGGAATACGAATAAAGCCGATATTCCGAAGCAGAATGGTGTGCGGACAACCTATCTTCTAGATTGTATATTGTGGCGCCATCCACCAGTTGTTCCAGCACCCGTTGGATTCTGGGGTACATCAGTACGGTGTGCAAAGGGGATGTTACAAAGACTTGTGTTGTCTAGGGGGCTAAAATTAAGTTATACTCACCAGAACCACCATCTCAGCTTGCCCTTCGACCGGTCCCTTCAGCCTTGCTTTGCTCCCCCTCCGCTCCAGTGGTCTAAAGTCCTAGGAGTTATACAGTGTATAGGGTGTGAGAACGCTGAGGCACATACCATCACTGGAGCAGAGAAGACAGGCTGGAGGAAGCAGTGTAGGGGACAGCCAGGATCGTGGTTTGAGCATAAGGCCTCATTCACACGAGAAAAGGCTGGCACGTACAGCTCCGCGTTGCGTGCATGGCTGTATCGGGCAGCTCCCGGGAAGGACAGGTGCTGCGTGTGATTAGTATGCAGCCCCTGTCCTTCTCTATGGGAGTATGCGGCTGTACACTGCCCGACGCTCACCCCAAGTGCAGGTCCACACGGGTGTCCCGGCTCGGACGCGTAGAGGATCCATCCTGTCAGCGCACGAGTATGGACACCCGCAGGGGCGTGTGAGCGAAGGGTGGCGTACTCCCATAGAGACAGGGACTGCGTACTAACTACACGCAGCACCTGTCCTTCCCGGGAGCTGCCCGATACAGCTGTTCACGCGGCACGGAGCTGTATGTGCCGGCCTTTTCTGATGTGAACGAGGCCTGGTTTTTTAGCTCCCTAATCAGAACGAGAACTTAACCCTTGCAGTGCAGATTTGATTTGCCCATGGCCACTAATTAGATTCTGACTTATGCTGAATGTGACCCAACTATTTAACTTACTATCCCATCTAACCCTGCCTATGCATTGAAGAAGATGTGATAAGCCCGCTCTTGCTCCCTCTCTCATGTGACATCTCTCTAGCATTCTTGAAAAGTCACCTTTACCATTCCCGGTTGGCTGTAAAGCAAATAAAGTGGAAGTTAACAGTTTTCACAGCTGCTATCCATGGATCAGCAGAGTTCCCAAAATGTCAGTGTCCAGGCCAGGCTTAGGCCCTAAATAAGGTCCATGTCTTATAACCCAGATCTAAAAATCAGCCGTGCAAGTCTTTACCTGTCCAGCCACTGCTGTGAAATAGCTCCACATCGGATCTTGTGCAGCATACAGAGCTTGTCCATAGAAGCCTCCATGTACATTGGGTGCCATGGTCTGACCCATCATTGGCATCGAGGGATTCATGTTCCCATACTGAAATACAAAAAAAAGGAGATAATGAGATGAATATAAAAAAGCAGAATTTTCCAGCTCCCGTCGCTTCCACTGGGGAGAAGCCAGTTTACAGCCCTGAATATAGGTAGAATGTGACATTCCATAGCTGAAGAACCATAAACCCAACACTGACCTCCGACCCCAATGTTGCCGTGTGACTTGACAATAAGTCTCACCTACAGAATAAGAGCATTCCTTCAAATGATCATATCATAAATATTGCTTCGATCTACAAAGAGATAAGAACACCTACGCATTGTAACCTTCAATAAAAACAGACTGCATGGAGGATGCGTACATTTGTAGGAATCCCTTCGAAAGACACCATTTGTTCATAATTTTTGAAAATCAGCAACAGGACAGGATTTGAACAATCCAAAGAGAACGAGCATAAACCTGCCATGAAAGAAATATGGCGGCTGCTGTTGCACATTAATGCAGCTCTGTAAATATTATGGCATCATTAAATGCATATTTAAATTCAAGTACCTGAATTGGACCTGGAGTCAGCCTCTTACAGTCCCTGTGTAGCAGAGGTGGCGTGTGAGTGGAAGAAGCAGTACAAGTGGCAAATCAGTTCATGGGCTGACAAACATGCTTTCACTTTCAAGTCACTACTTCTCTCTCCTCGTATGAGGAGACTGGTGTCGCTCCCTCCTATAGTTTTCTGCAGGTAGACTATAGTGGGTGCGTTTGCCGGTGTTCTATCGAAAGCCCCAACTCATCAAAAATCTCCAACTACCTCACTTCCGGTGCTCAGAAAGACCGGAGCGCTTTACAGAATACTTGTTGTTTGCCACCTGCTGGTAAAATGCAGCTGTACAGAACTTCGCCAGTCTTTGTTTGCAGTCTAGATGTCCAAGGACCTGTAGCACACCTTACCGGACTTCCCATGTGGAAATATGGGTGCTCGCAATGACTACGGATGGCGCCGTATCAAATAAAATCGTCTGTCTATAGATGTCACCAGCACTCCAAAAATACGTCAAAGTTTGTGCGGCTCCGAAAGCGCTCAATTACACTTTGAATGACTTTGAAAATAAAATGAAGATTCACTAAAAAAACTTTTACGTATTTTGTCGTATTTGGAGTGCTGTTGACATCTATAGACAAACGATTTGTTTGCAGTCTAACGCCCAACTTGCAAGTAACCGGCAGTGAGGTAGTTGGAAATTGACGAGTTGGAGCTTTCGATAGAACACCGGGTCCCTCCCACAGCTTTTTGAACAGGTACGTGCAGCACAGGAATGAGGTTACTGTTTTTTTCACATTATAATAATTGGGTTTGCAAAGGCATGTGGCACACACAATGCATACACAATGTGGATTTATGCCCTTTGTGGGTATGGATATATATTCAAATATGTGTCCCCACTGTAGAAATCCAACCTTACTTCCTGTTCAACAAGTGGGCAGACCATAACTGAATGTCCCTGGAAAGGGAATATACAACTCACCTCCCATAATTATGGGGAACGTCTTACACAACATATATATGGTGTATGGAAAGAGTTGCAGAACTGGTTGTGCAATGGATGCTGAGAAATGTCATATGCGGCGACATGTCTCATCATGTCACTTTCCTGGAAAATATACCAATTTATAAACAAGACCATTTCCAGGTAACAGCGTGCAAAGCATGTTCCTGCACTGTCCTAGGTGTGTGTGTGTCCTAGGTGTGTCCTAGGTGTGTGTGTGTGTGTGTGTGTGTGTGTGTGTGTGTGGTTCATTACAGCGTCATTTGTAAAAAGTACAGATTGATTTATTATTAGGGATGCACTGATACCAGCTTTTTGATACCGAGTACCGAGATTTTTTCCCCCCAGAACTCATCGATACCGAGTACCGATGGCGTGTGGCTAGCAAGGTACAGGTCTAAGCTGCCCATACACCTACAGATTTTCTGTGGTCAGATGGAAAAAGTGCAACAGATTCCTCCATCTATGCTAAACTGTGTGGGTGGAGGAATCTCCCACTGGGCCAAGCTTCACTATCTTGCTAGTCAGCCCCGCTGGTCCTCAAAATGCCTGAACAATGCCGGCATCCGATTGTTCGGGTATTTTGAGAGCCAGCGGGGCCGACTAGCAAGATAGTGAAGCTTGGCCCAGTGGGAGATTCCTCCATCCACACAGTTTAGCGTAGATGGAAGAATCTGTTGCACTTTTTCCATCTGACCACAGAAAATCTGGCTTTGTGTGGAACCCCTCACTGAATTCCAAAGCTACCTGCAGAGATCAGAGAACTGTCATCCCAGCTAGGCAACTACTGCCAAGCTGAAAGTTCTCAAGAGCAGATACACCTACCACTAGTCTGCTAACAAACCATCTCATGCCGGTTACCTTATAAATGTGAATGCCCCAGGTGCCAAACCTGTGGCCCAAGGGCCCTTGTTGTGTGGCTCTTTACAGACCCTAGTAGTCAGTAGCGGGATCATTCATTTTAAAAAGAAACTGAGGCCGCTCGCTTTGTATAAGGTTTATAGACACCTTATGCCATACAGTGACTCCAGGAATCTCCCCAATCGGTACCATTTGGCCGATAATGGGACAGAGGTTCCAATTCCTCCCCACTCTATTCCAAACGAGGAGATTTAGGGTTTTCGTTGGAGTTGTCTTTTATGGAAATATACATTGTCTACTCAGTGACAGGAAAGCCCTATATACGCATATTGCTGTGATAAAGGGCGTGCTATACACCGTGGATGCTTAAGGGTTACTTTAGCAGAACAGGAGGTTGGAAAGAATGGAATTGCTAGAAAAGAGGGATAGACAGCCTAGTCACTCTAAGCAAACATTACTACCACCCACAAATGCTGCCATATAAAGAATCAGCAATGTTTCTCTTCTGCTAAATAGACGGTTAGTGCATTTCTGTCTGGGTCACTGTTGTAGAAAAGCAGATAATTGGAGAATGCAGATGAAACTAAAAACACCAAATACCCCCAAAACCGATACGCAAGTTTACACGTAAGCAGAAATATTTGCTGGTTTCTTACACTGCATCTCTCAGACATCTGTGGTGACCGTTCCACACCAGAAAGAAGTTCTGCTTAACAGTAGAGGCCACTGCAAAGCCAAAAGGATGTCGTCACACTTCCCTTATGAACTATAAAACCAGTTTAAGGCAGCAATGGGCTGATAAGTGACCTCATCTGTGACCTAACATAGTGGGTGAGGTTGAAGAAAGACCAAGGTCCACCAGGGGTGTGGGTGTGTTTAAAAAAAAATATATTTTTAATACCTCCCATATCCTTGCATTGTATGTGTGGGACAATTTCTCCCTATAACTCTTATGCACACCCGCCATCTTCATCTTTGTGAAAGTGCACAGCCCCTCTATCTATCCGATTAACCGATTAATCGAACTTAATAATCGGCTAACTAATCGATTTTGAAAATAATCGTTAGCTGCAGCTCTACTCTAGGCAGCATCCAGAGATCTCCTACAGCCAGTTCTCGTTACTGACCAACCTGTAACAGGTCATTTATAAAGATGAGCAAACTTTCGAAAAGCTCAATCTTAGTTCAGCCAATTGTTTAAAAAAACAGAAATTTCACAAACCTGTGAAATTCAAAATTGGTGAAACTAAAGTCCCATCGAAGTCAATAATCCAAAAATTGACAGACAAAAACAGTGGAGAAAGTGATGTAAAAGAGAGCAGGATGGTTCAAGACCTGACCTAGCCTAAAATCTAATAACAAAAGAACACCAGTTCCGTGGTGCCTGCAAGCATATGCATTAGGTTACAAATTAAACCCTATGGGATGTTTATGGATGTTACATGGAGACTGTACAACTCAACGTTGGCCAAAGATGAAGTTCCTCCTCACCCTGGCTGTAAAATTCCAAAGCCTTCAAAGACCGTTTACAGGAAATGTGCCCTTTAAGATAGAGTACACATGTCCTGCCTTCCTAGCCCCCTGATGTAAAGAACGGGTTTAACAAGCGCTCAGCAAGTAGAATTGATCGCTGGACGCTTGTAAATAACTGAGGACATAATATGATCACTGTGCCCCTACTTATGAATGAAGAGGAAGTGCTCTACATCACTTCCTCTTCATTCATGATTGTGGACATATTAACTCAGTTTATGAATAGACAGGAGCACTTGATATAGAGGCGTCCTGTTCGTTCATAACGGGGGCTGCAGGAAAAGATTTAGGACTGTGTCCTGTTTGGACCCCTGATATTTCCCCAAAGACCCTGACACTAAAAAGTAAAAAAAATAACACAGGTACAACAATTTGTCTGCACGGTTACCTTAGAAACAGTTTACGTCACGCCAGGTTCACTTCTACATCAACACAAGCAATCATTGATTTGTTCATTGCATCAGCAGAGTGCAATGAATGAAAATGCTAACAAGTCTGACCAGTATTTTAAAACCCAGACGCAGCCAAAACATAGCAGGAAGGCCTAGAAACTCTAAGGTGTTGATGCCACATTTGAAAAATGCCCTGCTATGCCTTGGTAAAAATCGTGTCACCGAGGCTGGACTTCTATAACTGGTACCTGTAGGCACACAACATTTGGTGCCCAAATCAACACCCCAGAACACAGACTATAGAAATTGTAAACCTTCCCCATTCTACCAAAAAACAAGAAAGCAATCATGGTTAGTATTTAGTAGGGCTGGGGAAATTAACGATGAATTCCTCGATTAATCGTTAAACTTTTTGATCGATTAAAAGTCTTTTGATCGAAAATGAAAAGACTCAGCTCTACGCCGGTTTTCGGGAGTCCCGTCGGAGATCCGGTGACGTCACCGGACTCCTCCCCCCTTCCCCAAGTGGCTCCGTCGGCTAACGAAGGGAAGGGGGAGGAGTCAGGTGACATCACCCTACTCTTCCCCCTTCCCTTCGTTAGCCGACGGAGCCACTTGGGCAGGTGAGTTTGCCCAAGAAGCACCAAGCTTCTGTCTTATCATACATACATGCATACATAATGTGGCTCTCCATTAACCCCCCTCATCTCGCTCC